CTATCTGGTTTTATATTACTGGCTAATTTAAATTTTTGGAAAAGCTTCTGCTCTGATGAGCCTGTTTTTGTTAAAATTGCTTATTTATAGTATATAGAGAAGCGAATACTTGAAAGCAGTTTGTAATTGTATTTTGTTACATGTTTTTATAGCTTGGGGTCTCGCTGTTTAAACCTCCTGGGTTTCTATCAGTACATTACTGACAATGACTGGACCTCTGACCTGGTCGATGAAGGCAAGGAGCTAATTAGAAGAGGTATTTAATTTTCATTTTATTTATTTATTTATACATATATATATATATATATATATATATATATATATATATAGGGAATGCATAGGGAGTGGAAAAATATGTTTATAATTTTTAATATGCCAGTATTTCATAATAAATTGTGTTGAAATCACAATGGTTGTTTTTTTTTTTTTTTAAGTTAAACCATTTAAATTAAAATAATGAATATACATTTTGTTTTTGATATTTAGAGTATAAAAATGCAGCCATGTTTTGGATATGTCAGATGGCCAGAATAACCAACAAACCAGTGAAATAGCCCTTTGAATCACATAAAGCGTGGTCTTATTTTTATGGATTGTGCAGTAAATTCTAATTCTTGAATAATATTTAACGACATAATGTTAGTTAATGTCTCTTTAAACAGTTTAAGCCTGTTTAAAGTAAATGTTTGTAATTGAAATGTTCAGATTGTTAAAGAAAAAAAAGTTCTTAAAAAAATAGATGAAGCTGAAATGAAAACTGCACAGGAATTGTCATGTTTGACACATTCCATGTCTTTTTTTTAAATATTTTATTAGAAGTAAATCTGGACTCTGAGTTTAACTTTATGTTTTAATATTGTTTATTTTAAGAAAGAAGAATGAGGCAAAAAATGGAGGATGGACAAAATCGGAGATGGGTAAAAAAAAAACAATGATATACATATCTTCTAATATATCATCTTTGCAAGCTGTTTGGTTGTTTTTTTTATTGTCCAGTATGTCGGTTCATAATATTTTTTTGTGTAAAGTGTTGCCAGGTGTTTATGTGACAACTCTTCTTTTGTTTTAGGCCTGGAGGGAGCGATATGGAGCCAAAGCAACGCCATGGCGAAGCAGAGCCGGTTATACGGAGTTAAAAAATGATGCACACAGCCCTGAAACAGAGGCCAGGAAAAATGGTAGGGAATTAAAAAAAAATAAATGGTTTGAACAGATAGTATATTAGGCTGTACTAACAATTCTAGTCATATTCAATAAATTAGAATATTGTTGACATGTTTTTCATAATATATTGTAAGGTGAAAATATTTAGTAGATTAAAAAAATAAAAATGATGTTTTCAAGTCTTTATAGCTGGTAAATATTTGGATATTTTTCTTAGATAAAAAAAAAACACCATTTCAGATTAGATTATTGAATCAAACCAATAAAAGCATTTTTTTTTTATGATCAGCTGACTGAATTAGTGTTTACTCACAGCTTTCTGTAAATTTTGAAGAGTAAGTTGTTCATATACTACCTTAAAACCTTTGCTTTCATTTTCATGGGGGAGGAATGTTGCCTGTCATGCTATAGACCAGTGTTTCTCAACCTGTTTTGACTTGGCATGAGTTCCCCTCTCAATCAAATGTATTGATGATTGTCCGAAGTATGACGTACAATAACTATAAAAAGAAGACTATTTACTATTTATATTTTACTTAATCTTTTAATTTGAGCATTTAATTCGTATTGTATTCTTTCCATCTCAAATAAACAAACGAGAAAGTTAGTGAGGAATCGAAATAAAAACAAATTAAACTCATAATATAAACCTTGTATAATCACATTTAAACTTGATGAATTGGGAACAAAATTCAGAACAAAGATAATAGTCAGACTGAGTTAATTAGGTTTACTTTGTTTTCATCAAGACACCTGAGCTGCTTTGATGAGCTCCAATAGCTCAGTGTGAAAAACAACAGATACCAGGTTGCTCTTTACTTACAGCATGTTCCTCTGCTTGGTTTGGATGTGTGTCAAAGCTGAAGGTTAACTAAAAAAACATACTTCTTGGTTAATAAAAGCTTGTTTAATTTTTCTATTGGGTCCTAACATAGCAGAACAGATCCCAGTCCTATTTTATTTTACTACCACAAAAAAAACATTTTTATGCACCCCCATGCAATACCCTCATGGACCACTAGGGGTATGCGTACCCACCCACGTTCGGGAAACACTACTATACACAGCCCAAAGCCTTTTTTAAAGTCATTGAGTAAAATGTTTGCGCTCTGTTTAGTTAACAAATGTTACTATTACCTCGTTTATCTCATGTTTCATCCTGATTTTAGTGGCTATTAAGATTTCTTCCATCCCTCAGTATCTCCTTGAACTTACAGTATTCCATTTATGTCTTTTTTTCCATGACTGCAGTCACCACAGAAGATGGAAATGCAGAGGAGCAGCACATTAGTTCTCTTCAAGATAGCTCCTGTGATGAGGGTTTACTGAATCAAAGGTAATCTCCTCACTAAACACACCAAAGAGCTAAATCACAAAATACTGAGCAGTTATTTATTCTGTATCTTTGTGTTTATCTTTATAGATCCACGACTGGAAGGTATCGCTCGCTGACAGGCTTCTTTGATGATGTGTAATCAAATCAGAATCTCTTGAGAATTGAAAAAGCTATTAATTATATAAGTTAAAGTTTCTATTTTTTAGGGAGTTTTCAAGGCTGTGGACTCTGAGGGGAAAGTTATTCTGTATATTTGATTTATACTATTCGTGGATACAGTTTATTTAAACAGCTGGTTTCTGGTGACAGATGAGGCATGTATTTATCCAGAATATTTGCAGCTCTTTGTGAAATATATTTTTGTAATTATTTCTTACATTTGTCGTATCAGTTGTAATATTTTTAATACAGTGCTGTATATCTCAATTTCTGCAGTTTAAAATGAAAACTTTTCTTCACTTTAAACAGAACACATGAATTAATAATGAAATCATAACTTGTTTTATGCAGGGTTTTTTATATTTATATGTATGTATCTGTAAATAAAATTACAAGAGTTGGTTTGCCTAGTGTTTCATTTAATATTTGTATTACCGTTTTTATTTCCTTTGAGTAAACAACATTAAATTTATTTGAATTAAATGTTTTTTCATGAAGATGCGTTTACTTTATTTTACGTGTTATGTTTAATGTATCTAATAAATGTTAGTGTTAGAAAGGTGATGAAGTTGATCTAGGAATAGCAAATGAACTAAGTAATGATTTTCTAACAAGGTTTGTATAAAATCGACAATTTCCATCCAATAAAAATGTTGTTAGCGCAGCTCCAAATAACCAACATAACTAGGAAAGCATTTGAAGTGTGCAGACCTTCGCCAAGCAGCAGATTTTGCCCCAAATTGTAACTTATAAATTTAAACTAAGCATTCCTTGGCATGAGGCACACCTTTAGTAAAATGTTTTTCCTTAAAATCCGTTCAAAAGTTTTAACTTTTTGTTTTGTTTTTAGTAAAATACCTCTGGAATTTCTTACTCCAATGCTGAGGCTGTCAATAGTCACTGCTGCCACCTTCTGGTTTAATGGGGAACTACTTATTCCACCAAATATCCCTATTTCACAATGTTAGAGAATCTTAAAATGATTCCTGTCTCCAGATTATGATCTGGATCATCACTAACATTTAATGGATTGTTCCTTAGTATGAGGGACAGCTCTGATAAAATTTTCATTAAAATCAGCCCATGACATTTCAAGTTATCCTGTACACAGGCAAACACAAACTCTCAGAAGTAATAATGATTACACCAATACAGGAAAATAAACATAGATCAAGCTGTAAGTACTGTGTGGCTTGACACAATCAGCGTGAAAATAACCTGAACGTTGTGTGAAGGACTTGGACTTGATAAAGCACTACATTAGTATTGACCATTTACCGTTAAACATCCTCAAAAAGATAATTTTGCCCAGTAATTAAAATAAAGTGCTGAAATTCGAGATTCGTAGCAAAAAGTGTTACAGATAAATTACTAATTATAACCTTAAGAAAAAAAAAAAAAAAAAATTGGGATAGGCCATCCAGACAAAAAAAGGTGATTTAGGGATTTTTACATTCGGAAGTATTTTTCTATGACCCTTTTATGGTCTACACCAGGGGTCTGCAACCTGCGGCTCCAGAGCCACATATGGCTCTTTGTACCCTCTCCAGTGGCTCGTAATAGTAGCTAAAATGTATATAAAGAGCTAAATAATTTACTATAATATATACCGGTATCAATAGCTTTAGCGTTTTTTATAAGATGGAAAAGAATGAGATTAAAAGAACCAGAAAT